AAAAAAAAAAAAAAAAAAAAGGAAGAAAAAAAATGATTTTGTATCCAGTGTAACTTTTAGCCACACTGCAATGGGAAGACCTAAGATGTTTACTAAAACTTTCATGTGTAAGGAAACTGTTCTGCCAAATCTTCTAAAGAAAATGTAGCAATACAGATTTGATGATGGTTTTAAAAAAATGAAGTACAGATATATTTTTCTATTATAAAAGCAATACTCATTCTTTTAAGAACAGAGAAATACGGAAAGGAGATATGGGAGAGTTATATTACCTGTAGTGCCATAGACTCGAGTAGACACATTAAAAAAAAAAAAAAAAGGTAGCTTTTCTCTTTAGCACACGTATTCCTTTCTTTCCACCCCTCCCTTCCCGCTCATTATGATAATACCCTAGAAACATATTGTATATTTCAATGTCTAATTCTTTTTCAATAAGGCAGTATGTTGCCTGCAGAATAAACTGAAACCAAATTTTTAATTCTTCAAGTGAAGAAAATTTAGTTGATCTGAATTTGATCAGACTAGCCCATATTCCCCCCCCCCCACTTCCACACCCCTGTTCTGTTAGTAGTCTTCCTAGGAAGCATCGCTGTTAGAATTCTGGGTACAGAGAGATACGCCACTATAGACAAGCCTGGGAGAACAGGCTGTGGGTTTTGCTGTCATGAGAAAATTTAGTCAAGTCGAGTGTATTTAAAACATGGTTTTCTTAACTGCTTTAGTTATTTCATAGTACTCAAACGTTCTGTTGATGCTGAGTTGTATCACACAGACCACTAATGGGGTTAAAGAGAAATCCAGGCCTAGCAGTCCACGTAAATGTGTTCAGAGCAAGAAAAATGCCCTTTCATGTTGTTTATATTGTTTATGCTTTTTAAATTCATTCGTTCTTAATGAGATCTTGGTGAGTTGAGACACAGAAAGGCTCATCTGTTAATGGACAGTCCATCCTGAATACGTGGGCTCTCAGATTGTCCTAGCTCAATACTTTGTGGTTTAGTCTCAGGTATAGTCCTGTACCTGCAGTATTAGGATCCTTCTGAAACCTTGCTAGAAATGCAGATTGTTGGGTCCCATCCAAACCTACTGAATAAAACTCCCAAGGTGGGTGTCTTACCCACTGGTTATTCCTGTGCATGCTCAAGTTTGAGGACTACCGGTTTAGGTGACTGAACTTGTGTAGAGGCTGTTTTATTGCCAGTCTAATGCTTTCTAATGGAACAGCTAAGTTCTAGAGGTTATTAATTCTTAATAAAAGCTAGTAGATACATGAAAGGATTTATTTGCCATCATTTCACCATTTAATCTTCACACTTAAGGCTTTCAAAGTGAACTTACTTTACCTGAAATGAAAAATGAAACCCTGCAATTTTCCTATTTAGCCATCAGGTGGTAATAATGTGTAGTGCATATGCTTTAAATGGAAAGGGTAAAGTGATAGGGGCTGGCTAAGATAAGCATATGGAAAAAAATGCCTGTCTGCCTTAGAAAATTCTCAGCCATTGACCTTATACAGCACTAATTGTCAAGTGAGTAGACTGCATTTCTTTTTAAAGTTCCTCTGAATCACAGTGGTCTGGAACATTTTATCAGCATATCTTTCTCAATAACCCCTCATTTTTTCTTCACTGACATCCTCTGAGCTGTCTATACTTTGCTAACAGTTCCAAACTGGTGCTACTCATGCCAGTGTACTTGCCAAAAAGCATTTCCCTGCCACTGCCTATCTCCTCATGCCCAGCTGTGGCCACACCGAGTAGCCTGTGCACACTAAGGGAACAAGCTGGGGTTCCCTCGGCCATTTCTCTCAAGCTGGAGAGGTTCTTGACCATCGCTTTGCTTTCCCAGTCTTGTCTTTCAAAGTGGAGAGAATATGGGACAGGGAGTGACCTTCTGTAGTCAGGAGTAATGCTGCTGAGGCCAGAAAGCTTTGATGCTTTACTTCTTGTTTATTTTTAAAATCTAGGTCCTCTTCCACTTCTTTTTCTCCATGTAGTATTCTCCCAGAAAGTACAGCTAGTTAGAAGCAGGGGGGAGCTTCAGAGAACTTGGGAGAGCCTCTTCAGATTTTTTTTTTATCAAAGGACCCGTATCCTATATAATGTTATTAAACCAAATATATTATTTAAAATTTCAGGCGATATATCTTTCTGCCACTGTGTGTGTATTTTTAGCATGGCTTTTTAGCATTTTTAGCACATGCTTGCTTCTGTTCTCCTTGTTACAAGGAAGGGAACTGTGGTGCCCCTCACTTCTGAGCTGCTTGTCCAAGGGCGCAATTTGAAAAATGGAAATCAGGCATGCTGTTGACATTATCAGAGAGAGTATGGGAGGGGGAGAGAGAGCAAGAAAACGTGGGCATACTTGTGCTTTGTCTTCTCGGCTTATTGGAAGGCATGTGATAACAAGGTACCCAGCTTGTGTAATGGACTTCACGCATTTAAAAAAATCCAGTATTGAGATTTGTAGTCTGCATTGCTAGTAAGTTAAGGTAAAAGTTTCCTCTTGGTGTGATTTTTTTGTGGCAAATGTTGTATGTGGGTAAAAATATGTTCTTGAGAAGGAAAAATTAATTTATCCTTTCTTCTCTCCCTCCCCTCTCCTTCTACTCCCTCTTTCCCAAATCTTTGCTCAAATCTACCATAGGCATATCAAGGGGTGTAGGGTTTATTCGATTTGACAAGCGGATTGAGGCAGAAGAAGCTATCAAAGGCCTAAATGGCCAGAAACCTCCTGGTGCCACAGAGCCAATCACTGTAAAGTTTGCTAATAATCCAAGCCAAAAAACCAATCAGGCCATCCTTTCCCAGCTGTACCAGTCTCCAAACAGAAGGTATCCAGGACCGCTAGCTCAGCAGGCACAGCGTTTTAGGTAAGTCTGGTCTAGTTCTTGTGCCCAGCCACTAAACGGAGAGAGAATGCTCAGGTTTACTGTCCCGTACTTTGATTGACAGCAGCTTTGGTTTACGTTTATCATTACTGTTGTTTTCTTTCTTTTTCTTATGGGCACAGAGAGAGCCTACTTGGGGAACAGTGTCTTTTTGCTATTACCAAAAGGTGGGAATAAAAGGACAGTAACTTACAGCAGTAGTGAGGGTGATTTTGCCCTCCCCTCCAGACGTTGCCAGTGTCTAGAGATGTTTATGTTGGCATCACTTGACCTGGCATCTAGTGAGCAGAGGACAGGGATGCGGTGCATCCTCCTCCGGCATCCAAGGGTAGCCCCCAGAATCAGCAGGTCATCTGGCCCCAAATACTAATAGTGCTAAGGTCGAGAACTTCTAACCTACAGATTACTGGGGCCTGCTTAAGTTTTTTAGCACTTCAGATTTCTCCTTTTTAAATTCTTTTATTGGTAAAAAATATATTCTCAAGTTTTTAATTTTTAGGTCAGGCTCTTTGAACTACTCTGTTCTATAATATGTATACCACTAAGTATATATAACCTATGTGACTGTGTTATTTGTAAAAATGGGTTCTTCTCCCCCCCCCCTTTTTGTTTCCTGTAGTTTAGAGGTTGACAAACCTCTGTAAAGGACCAGATAGTAAATATTTTAGGATTTATGGATCATGGTCTCTCTTGCATCTATGCCTTTTTTTTTTTTTTTTAACAACTCTTGAAATATTTTTATCTTCTGGGCCATAGAGCAACAGGTGGCAGGCAGTCTGGATTTGGCCTGTGGGTGGTAATCCGCTGACCTTTGTATTGTCCATAGGATGACCATGGCTTTAGCCCAAAGAAGACACTCTTATCTCATTGACAGGTATAAATATTCTAATTTTTAAAGTTCTATTTTAATCCTAGGGTAACAGCCAAACCAGGAGTCCATAAAAAAAAAAATCTCTAATCTGTATATGAGAAGATCAGTGACTTTAAGAAGTTAACAGAGCACAAAGAGTTTCTGGTTTCATAAGCAAGTCACTCAGTTTTTATTTTCCAGGACGTTTTTAAAATATCCTTTTTGGCCATATGGTATACTGCAGCCAGAATGCCATCTAACCCCACACGCTAATTTTTTTTCCCAAGTGTATATCAATTTTATTTCTTTTCTTCCTGGGACAGAATAGTTAATTACCGAAAATACAGTCAAAACCATAACCTAATAAGACCAAAGAGTTACATATATTTTCTAGCTTAAATCATCCATTTTTTTCATTGGAGTATTTGGAGTGCTGAAGAGAGTGGGGATAAAGCCAGTCAAAAACATCTCTTCTTCTAAAAAATACTCAGTTGTATTGCTCAAGTATGAGAAAGGAGTTCGCCATCAATGTGATGTTAGCTTCCTACTTATGTTGGTCTTTGCCCCAGAAGAAGAGCCAGTCCTGTCACAGGCTGCATTTGAACTGGGTAACTGGGCCCCCAGTGGATTGAGCCTTGTCACTTCACTCTGTGCTGTAATTTTATGAGGGAGAAAAAAGCATTGGTAGAAAAGGAATCTTGGCCAGGTTTTTGACTTTGGTGAATGAAATGGTGATCAGACTGGAGGGGAGAGATGCCCACTAGAGCTGGGCTGCTTGATGCCCTTGCAGAAGAAAGTCTCACAAAGGCCTCCCCTCCACCTCTTTTTTCGTTTAGGCTCTGCCTATGGGTTTCTTCTGTGGCATATTTTTAAAGTGATTTTTTTTGCAAATTTAGGACAAACAAGCCTGGAAGAATTTTATAGGTATTTCTAGGCAGCCTGTCGTAATTAAGAATAGAGCTCTTTGGGGCCTAGAAAAGCATTTTGAGCTTAGAGGAAAGTTCTTTTTTTAAATTTTTAAAAAAATTTTTCAAATTAATATGAGGGTACAACTTTTGGGTTACATTGTGGTCACTTTCAGGGTAAAGTTCCATTTGTAGAAGAGCCCCTTTCCTAGGGGGCGTGTTACACACCCTCGCAGTGTGCACATTAGCTGAGATCCTGCCTGGTGCCCTCCCTCCTTCTGCCATACGTCCTCCCCCTTCCCTCTGCCTGCTTCCCTCTGCCCCCAAACTAGACCATATTAGTGTTTTATCGTTCTTACGAGCATGCAATTGTTTATATATTGATTTCATATTGGTATGGAGTACATTCAATATTTATTTTTCCATTCTTGTGATACTTAGAAGAATATATTTCAGCTCCATTCAGGTAAATGTAAAAGATGTAACGTCTTCATCTTTTGAATGGCTGAATAATATTCTGTGCTATATTGTTGATCCATTCATGGAGAGGGAAGTTCTTTAAAATTTATTTTTTAATTTGAATGTTCTAAAGGTATGAAATGTTTCTTCTTGGTAGTAAGCCATCTTATTGTAAGCTGTTATTTTTTTCTTCCCGTTTAAGCTGAGTTTTTGTTTTTAAGGTGGTTAAGTAAAAAAGGATTCTCAGAATCAAGACTGAATTTGGGGAACGATTGAGCCAAGGGAATGAAAAGGCAGGATTCAGGAGAGCGATCACTGAAATGGCAAGGCTCATGGTGATTGACCTGTTGGATTGTTGGTGACTGCAGTCCACTCTCAGCCCCGCCCGGTCACTCCCTGCCTGCTCCACTCTCAGCCCCGCCCGGTCACTCCCTGCCTGCTCTGTACTTGTTATTTTTGGTTAGGTAAAACTTCATAGGATGCTCTGGTGGTCAATTTTAATGTCTTTTAAAATAGCTTCTGCCCATTCTGTGTTTTTATCTTTTTGTACCATATGTTATCATTAACTTGGAAATCCTTTCTCTTCTTGACTCCTATAGATAGAAATTTTGGAAGAAGAGAATGAGAGTTGTCAGTTGTAAGGGAAACCTGGTTTTAGAGAAATGGAGACGATTCTTCTCCTTTCAGATTGCTGTTGTCACTTCACCCTGTTTTCCATTCCTCCCATGATCTCTGTCCAGATAATAAATACAACCTAATTAGTGTGTGCAGTGAAGGTATTTGATCTAGATTGGGTGTTGGAAGAAATTATTACTAGAATTCAGGTTTAATCTGATGTATGTGTTTGGGGCTTTTCCTTTAATGATGTGTGTATAACTTAGTTGTCATTACCTTGATTTCGTTTTTACCTTTCCTTCTGTTGAGTAAAGCCTGAACCACCTTCATTATGAGGTGAGTCTTTCACCTTGTAAAGACTCTTGAATTAAGAACTTGGTTGTTTTGTTGGTATTTTGCCCTTTTCTGTAGTTCAGGTCTAGTTCAGGCCTACAGCCACACACACACATATTCTGTCCCTAATATTTGTGTTTTAATGCTTCTGCCTTAAGTTTGTCACCTTCCTACAGGCACTTGGAAAAATTTCTCACTGGGTATTTTTATGTTGTCCTAGTACCCTGGGAGTTGAGAGAGTTTGGAGAATTCAGGTTGCATACATAATAATAATCAAGGATACTTTTAATAATCATGAAATGTACCGTATCTTTTAAGTTTAAAAATTTTTAAATCCATATGAGAAGGGTTAAGTTTCAAAGGGGGCTTTTGAGATTTATGGCTTAGTCAACCCATGTGAACAATTAGGTAATTATTTTAGCACAGCACTGCTGATCTAATATGCTGATTTAATTGACTGCAGTTTTCAAAATAAGACATGCCTTATTTACTTGGATGGATAGTGTAATTCGAGCCCCTTAAGTATATTCTTGGGACATGATATCTAAATTAAACTTTAAGCTAATTTTTTTCATGTTTTTTTTTTGTGGAGTAGCTTTAATTTTATTGAATGTGATCTAATTTAATGGCCTATGTGCCTGCTTCTATGAGACTTTATGCATTTTTAAAGGAGCCCTTTAAATCAGCACTTGAGTTGCATTTAAGGCATGTGCTGGTTGCATTATCACAATTTCCTTTGGGAAGAAACTGGTATCGATCCTCCTGAATCCCTCTTTCTTAGAAGACAAATGATATCATCTAATTGGATAAGGTGGTAAGTTGACCTTATTGTGGATAACTTTAGAGCAGGTCTTGGTTGGTGCTTTGGAGAGGTTTTGATAACCATTATTTGTGTGATCCAGAGTTCTATTTTCCTACTCATTAATCTTTCTTCATACTTTTATTTCTGACTTTGATTTCACATTTCCCCTTGACTTGCTTCAGTCAAGACCTCTCACAGCCTGTCAGCTAAATTTCTGAGAGCTTCAGCAGGTGCCCTATTTTTATTTTCTACTATAAACACCTAGGTTTGAAATGGAGATGATCCACCTGATACATGGTTCTGTTCAAAATATTACCCAATCGTGATCTCAGTTATATTTTTCTTGATCAAAAAATGTTTGTGCACATACCCCTACTATGTATTTTTTTCATAAATTACATATGTACATGGGCGTGTGCTATTAAACTATAAATTCTAATAAAACAGAAAATAACAATGGGCTAATGATGAAAACGTATATCAGATATCTTGTTAATTATACTGGCTGGCTTTATTTTTCGCGTACTTGGTATCTTAGTAATACGCCTTTTAAAGCAATATCTCTTGAATAATAATGATGAATTTTGAATTTCCTGTCTGACCTCATGTGAGACATTGAATAATCTTGTGTCTAACTTCTCATAATGTAGCTCTTATTTATTTTGGTTTCTCTTACCGGTGTCATCCTCAATTCTGACACGTTTTAATTTGTAGGAATTTTTTTAAAGCTACCTTTTCTTTAAGGAAAGGTAATTTTAATTGAAGCTAGGTTATCCAATCTAATTCTCCAAAATCACGGTTGTTTATAAAGTGGGATTATGTTCAGGCTAAAGAACCTGTGAGGGTGCCACTGGCCACCTCTGTCCTCTGTGAATTGCTCAGTGGGGAACCATGTGTCACGACTGAGGACCCAGAGTATAGTATATTTATTAACGATAAGTACAGTGTTTATTATTATTACTAATATATATATATTTAGTGGACACTTTAATAGTGCATCATTATACACATACCTGCTCCCCCAAGTTCTTCTGGAAGCTACTAGCTTGGTCTTCATTTAAAATTGACTTCCTATTTTAAATGACCACATAC